AGAATGTTGAAGGTAGTGAATAGGATGCGAATCAACTGGGCTGCTTTGTTCTGAATGTTATCAAGCTTCTTGACTGTTGTTGGAGCTGTATTCTTCCAGGCACAATGAGTTTATTCCATTGCACTCCTGGCCTTTGCCTTGTACAGACAGTGAGAGACAGAAAGTTCCACAGAAATCCTACCTTCTGTTGTATCAGAGATAGTAGGAACTGCCGATGCTGGAGAATCTGAGATAACAAGGTGTAGAGCTGGATGAACACAGCAGGCCAAGCAGCATCAGAGGAGCAGGAAAGCTGACGTTTCGGGTCTAGACCGTTCTTCTGATGTATCCACTTTTTTAAATGGCTGTTCCAGTACGATTTCTGATCAATAGTAACCCCGAAATGTTGATAGTAAATGATTCAGCAATGGTAATGCCACTGAACATAAAGATGCAGTTGAAAGATTCTTATTTGTAGGAGATGGTCAGTGCCTGGCATTTGTGTGGCACTACTTTTACTTGCCACTTACCAGCCCAAGCCTGGATGTTTTCCAGGCCTGATGCATGTAAACGCAGACTGCCTCAGTTTCTGAGGAGTTGCACAGTGCTGGGTATTGAAATCTCTCCATTTGACCATATGATGGAGGAAACACTATTGATGCAGGTAAGTAACCTGATGGCTGCTAGAGTGGTGGAATTCCACTCTTAAACTGGCTAGCTGAAACACAAGTCTGATTTGCCACTGGCTGTGATTCAAGCAGAATTTCAGTGTTTGCCGGCAGCAAAGTGGGAAACTACAGAGTCGTAGAGGACAGAACAAGGCCGTTAGGCCTGTGAATCTGCGCCAGTTAAAAACAACCATCGAACCAGTCTAATTCCATTTTCCAGCACTTGGCCCATAGCCTTGGTATGTCATGGCAGAAATATCAGTGGTTAAATCACTTGGAGCTCATTCTGCCACCTTCCAAGTGACCATTTACTCACTAATATTGGAAAAGGTTTATGTGTAATTAATTGGTGCATGAAAAAATGCATTAAAAGAAAAGCACATGTATATATATATTTATATATATATATAATGTTGGAAGTTTCATTGCATGTAAGAGTATTTCATGTGGTGCCTAGTTATCCAGCTGAAGTTTTCAGAATGCACTATCTGACAATCATTGTGCAGAAGCATTATTGCATTATTCCTATGATGGATTCCATCTGTTTTGGCCTTACTGACATTTGTCCTGTAAGCTGTTACAAGTGGAAGCAGCCAAAATATTCTTGTGAGTATCTAAACTTCAAACCCTTTGTATCTTGTTGATTACCCTTAAAATTTGGTCGTCTTTTGTACATTGTACTCTGATTTAAGAAATTATTTTTGCTTTCACTTTAGGTATGCCCTATTTCTGTAATTGTGTATGTTGTAATAAACAGTGGCTCACAGTCAAAGGATTTGAAAAATGTCCAGCATGTATAATATTTCAACAGGAGTGAACCACTGCTGTATTCTGCGGACTTACTATAAACTGGTTTTGCATTTCTGTTCCTGGAAAAGTCCATCTATATTCTTCTGCTGTAGGTTGGTTAAAGTGTACAGAATAGGAATTTCAGTCATACTGTAATTTTGTTTGCCTTCAAATTCCACACAGCAAACATTTTGATGGAATCCATTTCCCTGACCTTTTTTCATGTTGAACATTGAACTAAATCTTGCCTTTCTATTAACATTGTACATGTCCTATGAGGAACAGCAGGCAAAGGGATTCGTAAAGCTTTTCTACTCGACGCAAACCTTAGACAAAGTTGCTGAGATTTTCTTTAAAAGTTCTTTTCACATTAAAAATCGATCTTTGGCAAACCTCTGGAGAAAACAAATAGCTTATCCAAGGAAAGTGGATGACAAAATGGCCAATCGTACGTAGCAATTATTAATATATAGCAAATATAATGTACATGTACTGAACTCTATCTAGCAATTTTGCTCCACCAAACACTAATGCCCTCGCCTATTTAACATAAATTGGTCTCAGTCATAAATCTGGCATATAGTTAGAATTGTTAATTCATTTTCTGTTTCAGATAGTCGCAATAAGTTTTTAAATGACATTGCAAGTAGGCAGTTGTTTTTTTCAGGTTTGAGCACAAAACTATGGTCACATAAATTTGAAGAATTATCTTGTGGAGAAATGTTTCCCATTTTCTCATTTTCCTGACCTGCTCTTGCTCATTTACATAGTTTAGCAACACACTGTGACAAGCAGTTCATTCCTGTCAGTGCTGGTGATCATTAGAGGATGGGTGTTGGACTGCCACAGTTCATTTAGATTTAATTGCTGCACTTTAATAGATAATTTCAGCAAAGTACATGCGCCTCATTCTCATGGGCAACAGTTTGAACTCATCGGATAATCTCACAAATTGCACTGCAAAACAAAGCTCATTTCCAGCATTTTGACCCACAGCAAGTGTTCTAGTTCTGTATTTTTACTTTAGAGATACATGAGTGATCTTTATAAAGTTGCTCATTTGGAAAGTAACACACTTATATTCACTTCCCTTCAACCACTGTTTTTCACCAAGACTCAAGTTAGTAAAAAATAACCAGGGCATAGTTGAAAGAAATGCATTATTGCAATGACACTCTGTCATCTCATTGCTGGGAATATATGATATTTCTGATACAGCACAATTGTAAACTGAAGATGTTTCCATGTAAAGTTGTTGGTACTGTATTAAAATGAGGGAGTCAAACATGCAGTCATTTAGAATCAAGTTATTTTTGATTATGATTGACATGGAATTAATTCTCCACTATGATGCTGTGGAACAGTTAATAAATAATGCAGCAGAAATGCAGTACAATATGCAGAGCTTTGTGCTCATAAATGCCAGATATATACCACAATAAAGTATTTCTGTTGCTTTACTGAAATGTGCAATTCATGGGAAATGGTTTGTTCTGCAAAACATTTGGAGCATGGGGACGTCTTCTGAACAGCCACTTAAGAACAAAAATGTTGTGGAAATCAATCATTTCTTGGCAAAAACAAGTGCAAATTTGCTGCATTTTATATCAAATCAAGATATGTTTATATTTGTAAATTTTAATCTGGTTTTCTCAAAATGTTATGGGAATTAATTAAATGTTAAACAATTGAATTTTCTATCTTCAGGCTTTTATTATTGTGCTGATCTCCTGTCAATCTCTAATTAGAGTGTAGATAACCTGCTCAGGTGTGTTATGACACACCTCTGGACCAAGTGGGACTTGAACCTAGGCCTCTGGCCTGGAGGTAGGAACACTACCACTGCATCACAAGAGCACTTTAGTGAACATCTTTATATACAGCTAATCACAAAGAGATGAGCCATTTGATTAATGTGTATAAAACTGATGGAAACCTGATCAAAGTGGCATTATCCCAGAGATGATGTAAAAGGTTTGATATGGTGTTACGTCCATTTATTTTGAATAAGGGACAACGTGGTTATTGATCTTGATGTGTGCTTGGGATGTGAAATCTTTATCTAAAAGTGACGATTTGCACTGATGTAGTTACCGGTCCTCGCGTGGACATTATCTGACAGTGAAACAGAGAGTAGAATTTAAAGGCTGCAGCAGTGGACCCGTCCACCAACTGGAGAACTAGTGGGAACTCCACTGTGGCCATTATTTTGAGTAAATCCCAATTAGTCAGCTGACTACTCCTGTCACAGTTTCTAGCTCCTGTAGGGTTGTGTTTCCCATACATTTTTTCTTTCAAGGTTGTTATCCCAGCATTGAGAGTTGCCAAGTAATCAGAGACTGACAAACTTTCAGTAATGGCAACATCAATGGATACTGTGGGCACTCTTGATATTGTAATCAGCCAAAGGCTCTTGAACATTGCTGGATCCCCAGATCACAGGGAGGCCCTGCATGTTTTATTGACTCACAACATAAACTGTTCCAAAACTGTAGCAATAATTGATAAACTAAAGGAAGAGTTGCTTATTAATGGTTAAAAATTTTCAGGAGTGTTGTTCAAACATGTTCTATTTGCTGACTAACATTGCTCCAATTATTAAATCATTTAATAAATTGCATCAGTTCCTGTGATGACATATACTAGCCTATTTGCACATTCATCAATATGCTAGAGAATATTAAGGCAATTGAAAAATATCACATTCGGCCTGATTGTAGCTATATGGGCCATTGAATCCCCACAATGTGGAAACAGGCCATTCAGCCCAACAAGTCCACACTGATCCTCCAAAGAGCATCCCACCCAGACCCATCCCCCTAACCCTACATTTCCTGTGGCTAATGCACCTAACCTACACATCCCTGAACACTGTGGGAAATTTAGCATGGCCAATCCACCTAACTTGCACATCTGTGGACTGTGGGAGGAAACTGGAGGAGGTAGTGGAAATTCATGCAGACATGGGGACAGCATGCAAACTCCACACATACGGTCATCCAAAGCTGGAATTGAACCTGGGTCCCTGGCGCTGTGAGGCAGCAGTGCTAACCACTGAGCCGCCATACTGCCAATGGTTTGGTTTTCTGTGGATAGCTTCCTTGCATCTCCCTCTATTTGAAAGAACAATGGGCCCATCCCACCTGGCACAGAAATACCTGCCAGGATTTACCTGGTGGTTTTCCCACATGGCATGCAATCCAAAACTCTAGCCCTGCCCCCTGTCCCTAACTGAGTGTCAGTGGTGGCAAGATGAGACCCTCACGTGACTATTTCAGTTTCTTAACTTTTGATCAGGTAGAAGGCAGATCTGGACCGTTCCCACTCTGGACTGATTTAAGAGAGTCAGGAAATCCATTTGTGTACCTTCCCCATAATACAGCATTCAGCCCCACACCATCTACCAAGTGGACCAACAAATTTTGCTTCTAGTATCAATCTGTCACCAACAATACAATAAAATGATCTGTGTTCCTTTGTAATTTGACCACGTAAGATGTATTTCAAGATTAAAAGACTACTAATGAGAAAAGACAATTATCGCATTACCTAAATGTTTTTTAGATGAAAGAACTTGTGAACCATATCAGTTCCGGTGCAAGAACAATCGTTGTGTACCTGGGCATTGGCAGTGTGACTATGATAATGACTGTGGAGATAACTCAGATGAAGAATCATGTGGTGAGTTCATCATTTGTTTTGATATTTGATTAATGGTTTGGGGAAAAATAAGTAACTCCCAATTCAACAGTGCCATAAAACAGATTGCATAGAATTCAGTTGCCAGCATGACACAGAACAGACTTTCTGATTAGTAATTTTAGTGAAAAATCTTTAAGAACAAACAATGAAGGAAGGCTTGATTTGCAGTGTCATTATGATACTGAGGCTGATGTAAATGTACTAATGTAAAAAAAAGATGCTGTACTAGATGTAGACTTATGCCTTTTGTGACCTCAGAATTATTGATGCAACTATGACATATTAACATAAATACTCAACAAATACTCAATTTCCTATTTGAGAGAAATAATAGGAGAGATTACTTTTATACTTACATTTATCACAATTATCAAATCTAGACTGTTTGCTAAAATCTGAAAAGTTTTAAAGCAATTCACTCCAGCTACATTTGAATTTTATACAGTTGAATCTCACAATGCAGTTATTAGGAAAAGCAACATCATGGAAGTGCTTGTTTAGCAAATAAGGCTTTCACCTAAGTTAAATCTGCCTGACATGCATTGACTATAGAATGGCAAACACACGAAAGAGATTACATCTATCTCACAAAGTTCCCAGCAGAACAATGCAACATGCAGCCCAATGACTATTTTAAAAACTGCAATCTTTTCAGATTTATGTTTCTGTTTGAAGTTTCTCCCCCTGGGTAACTGGCAATCCTCTTCTGCTTTCCAGTCGGTACATTCAATGACAAAGTGTACGTGTAAAGGGTGCATTGCGATGATGATAAGCTAGCTTGCTTAAACATATATAGTGTGTGCCTTACACGGCTAAAAGATTAGCAGCTGCCATTGCAGCATTCCAGACATTTTCAAGTCATCAGTTTGACAAAGTGGCCTTGGATTAGTGAGCCAGACCTGCAGAGTTTCCAACAGTATAAGAGTCCAGAAAACTGTATGCCAGTATTCCACTAAAATTCTTCACACAGTTATAATCTAAATTTATGTCCTGGTGCAAATTGTATGACTTAAAGTAAGATGAGCAAATGCAGTCCTGTAGACTTCTACGTACACAACAAGTAAACAACAGCTTTCCAGGTTGGATTCCTTCTTGTTGGAGATGGAGATTATCTGGCACTTTAACAATTCATTCTTCCGTTGTATCTTGCTTCATGTGAGCATGGGCTAGTTTAGTATCCGAGCAGTCGTACTTGGTAAGGTGCAATCATCAGCACCCTTATACTGAAAGGTAAATCATTCCTGCTGTGAAGATGTTTGGTTCCAGGACACTAACCTGAGGGGCTCTAGCACAGCTGTCCTGGAAATTAGATATTTTGCTTGCAGCAACCACATTCATCTTCCTTTGTGCTAAGTACATCTCAAGCTTGTGGAGAGTTTCTCCTGATTCTAACTGACACCAGTTTACCTTGAGCTCTTTGATGCTACACACGGTTAAACGTTGCCTTGATTTCAAAGGCATTGACTCTCGCTTTACCTCTGGAATTCAGCTCCTTTGCCTATGTTTGACTGAAGGATGGGGGTTTGGAGTGCAATGCACTTGTCAGAACCAAAGCTGAGCATTGTAACATTGTTGCTGAGTGAGTACCACATTGCGACAATGCTAGTACTATTTTCCATCACTGTACTGATGATTTAAGCTGGATGAATCGAGGACCACAGAAATTGCAGAGTGTAATAGGACTTGAACAGGTTGTGGAAATTGTAACCTTAGGTACCATACTGAATGAAAGTGTGAGATTTTTAAATTTTAGTGTGAACTGTTAGAATACAGGCAACAGAGTTTTGGATGGGCTCAAATTTATAGTTGGTTGTGGTTTCAGCCAGGGTCGCATTCAATTCACAAACTAAAACAAAGTTGCTGGAAAAGCTCAGCAGGTCTGGCAGCATCTGTGAAGGAGAAAAGAGAGTTAACGTTTCGGGCCTGGTGACCCTTTCTCAGAACTGATGGTGGCTGGGAAAACGTCAGTTTATATGCAGAAAATAGGGAGGTGGGTGGGGTAGGGAGTAAACGATAAGATAGAGCCCAAAGAGAGAGAAAGACAGTTGGACAGACAGAGGAATTGTTAACGATCAGGCTGGGAGGGTGAATAGTTGTTAATGGGGACTGTTAATGATTAGCAACAGGGGTGTGTAATGGCAGGCTATGTGGTAACAAGGCCTGGTGTGTGGGGTGGGGACTGGGACATGGGAGATTTTAGGCCCTAAAATTATTGAACTCAATATTGAGTCCGGAGGGCTGTAGGGTCCCCAAGTGGAAAATGAGGTGTTGTTCCTCCAGCTTGTGTTGGGCTTCACTGGAACACTGCAGCAAGCTGGAGACAGAGATGTTGGTCAAGGAACAGGGTGGTGCATTGAAGTGGCAGGTGACAGTTAGTTCATGGTCTTTTTACGCGAACAGAACGTAGATGTTCTGCGAAGTGGTCGCCAAGTCTACGCTTCGATTCCCCAGTGTAGAGGAGACCACATTGTGAGCAGCGAATGCAGTAGACGAGATTCTGGGAAGTGCAGGTGAAGTGTTGCTTCACCTGGAAGGTATGTTTGGGCCCCTGGATACTGAGGAAGGTGGAGGTAAATGGGCAGGTGTTGCACCTTCGCCGGCTACAGGGGAAGGTGCTGTAGGGCTGTGGGGAGGTGTTGGGGCTGAAGGAAGTGTGGACCAGGGAGGGGAAGGGAATATGTGTCTGGTGGTGGCATCTTGCTGGAGGTGGCGGAAATGGCGTCTGATGATCTTCTGGAAGAGGATGCTGGTGGGATGGTAGGTGAGGATAAGGGGAACCCTATCACTGTGGCGGGAGGGACGAGAAGGGGTGAGGGCGGAAGTGCGGGAGATGGGTCAGACCTGGTTGAGGGCCTTGTCGACAACGGAGCTGGGGAATCCTCGGTTGAGGAAGAAGGTGGACATTTCGGAGGCTCCCTTGTCAAAGTTGCCCTCATCTGAACATATGCAACGGAGACAGAGGAACTGAGAGAATGGGATAGAGTCTTTACAGGAAGTGGGGTGTGAGGATGTATAGTCCAGGTAGCTGTGGGAGTCAATGGGTTTGTAATGGATATTAGTGGCCAGTCTATCCCCAGAAATGGAAACAGAGATGTCGAGGAAGGGAAGGGAGGAGTCAGAGGTAGACCAGTTGAAAGTGAAGACAGGGTGGAAATTGGAGGCGAAATTGATGAAGTTTTCCAATTCCAGACGCGAGAGGGAAGCAGCACCGATGATATCATCGATGTATTGGAGAAAGAGTTGTGGGTGGGGGCCGGAATAGGACTGGAACAAGGAATGTTCCACATACCCCAAGAAGAGACAGGCATAAATAGGGCCCATGCGGGTACCCTGAAGAAAATGAGACGAGTTGAAGGAGAAGTTGTTGAGGGTGAGGAAAAGCTCGGCCAAGGACGGTGGTGGTGGGTGGGGATGGTTCAGATCTTTGCTCCAGGAAGAAGCAGAGAGCCCTAAGACCCTCCTGGTGGGGATTGGACGTGTAGAGGGACTGCACATCCATGGTAAAGAGGAGGTGGCTGGAGCCGGTAAACTGGAAGTTTTGAAACCGGCATAAGGCGTCAGATGTACGTGGGTAGGGGTTGGGCCAGGGGGGAGAAGACTGAGTCAAGATAGGAAGAGATGAGTTCTGTAGGGCACGAGCAGGCTGAAACAATGGGTCTACCTGGACAGTCCTGTTTGTGGATTTTTGGCAGGAGGTAGAAACAAGCTGTGCGGGGTTGGGGGACTATTAGCTTGGAAGCGGATGGGGGGAGATCACCGAATGAAATGAGAACTGTAACCATCGTGGATACAATGGCCTGATGTACCATGTGGGGTCGTGGTCCAGGGGAAGGTAGGAGGAGGTATCTGAGAGCTGGTGCTCAGTCTCTGCAATGTAGATGTCAGTACGCCAGACTACAAAAACACCAACCTTATCGGCAGGCTTGATGACAAAGTCAGGGTTAGATCTGAGTGCACGGAATGCAGTCAGTTTGGAGGGAGATAGGTTCGATTTGTTGAGAGGGGCAGTGAAATTGAGGCGACTAATGTCACGTCGACAGTTCTCAATGAAAAGATCGAGTGCAGGTAAAAGACTGGAGGGAGGGGTCCAGATGGAGGGAGAGTGTTGAAGTTGGGCAAAGGGATCTGTGGGACGGGGAGAGGACTCTTGTCCAAAGAAATGAGCACGGAGGCGAAGACGGTGGAAGAAGAGTTCGGTGTCATATCATGCCCGAAATTCGTTAGGGTGGGGACGCAGAGGGATATAGCTGAGGCCGTTGCTGAGTACAGAACGTTCAGCATCAGAGAGCAGAAGGTTAGGAGGGATGGTGAATACCTGAATGGGGGTGGGGGGAGCGGGTGCCAGGGGTGGTTGGGGGAGGGCATGCAGGCTAGTCACAGTAAGTCTTAAAATGAGGAATCCCATCATTAATTGTTTTGATAGCTTGCTTGGAAATTCAAGCACCACAATAATAGTTACTTGTCTCTATGGAGTTTGTAATATAGGGCAATCACCTAATAAAGACCAAGATGCTTCATCTACATTATACCTTCCTGGTATATTATACTCTTTGTCAAAATATACTTTTATTTAAAATAACTTTGTTTGATTGAGAAAACAGTACTTTTGAAATAAACAGCTTATATTTATATCATGCACTTAAAAAATCTTAGGACAGCATAAAAACAATTTGCAGCCAGAAATATTGGTCTGTTGTGTGGCTGTTGTTACATTGAAATGCCAAATTGTGCAGAGCAAGATCCCACAGGCATCATTGTCAAAAATTAATGGACATTCTGCTTTCAGTGCCATTGGTAGTGAGGTAAATGTTCATGTTGGCATGCGTAATAGTTAGATTCTCCTGATTAACCAAATTACAAAGCCTAAATTCTACCTGACCATATGTCTTTCTTTAAAGCATCCATGATTATTTCCTTTCAAAATTGATACCCCACTCTGGAGTCATGTATAAACATAGCTTTTGGTCATAATAACCAATTAGTGGGTAAAGTACTTGCTCCCTAATTTAGTGTCTTAGTTGCTTGAAAAGTAATGTTCGTTCAAAGTTGATTTTCGTGTGTTATTTTTGAAACCCAAAATTTTGTTGTACCGTTATTTTGGTCACTTGTTGGGGCATTTTTCAATCTTGTTAAAAGTTATCTGTCTCTATGCTTACAATAATGGTAATCTGAGCACTATTAACATCTTTCAAGATTTTGAAATTCTTTTCAAGTTCTGTACTCGGCCACTTTTCTGATCATCTAAATTTAAATTCAGACCATTTATTGGTTTTAAAACAGCTTCTGAAGTTTTAGTAATTGCATATATACTCATGCATAATATGTTGTCAAAACTCAAATACCTTCAGTGATTTGATATTTTGGTTCATTCAACTTTCACTGAAACTAATATAGTTGTGAAATTTAAAATGGTGTGAGAAATTTTGCATTTGGTTCTTGACCAATTCTACCATAGAATTACATTAATTATTAAATTAAAACATTTTACTTTCTTTCTTTTAAACCTTAGCACTTCGCTCCTGCTCGATGAATGAGTTTACCTGTGCAAATGGTCGTTGTGTTGCAGCCAGATGGAGATGCGATGGAGATTATGATTGCTCTGATAGTTCAGATGAAGTAAGTTTTCTTTCATGACTTTATCCAGGTTATAGAACATAACAGTTGATCCATTGTCTGCATGCAGTATGAATCCAGTATTTCATCTTTCCATTAATAAACCTTTAAGTGAGGGAAATCCAATGGTGTGGTCGGAGATAGTGAATTAAGAAGGTGTCTCTGGAAGCCTTGTAATTATGGTTGGTGGGTGGTCTATTGAATTCTGAGACCCAATGTCTGGCTAAGCTCCCCATGACGACAGGTAGATATTCTTCAGACATGCTGGAGACTGCAATAGCATCTCAAAGTGAAGGCACTGTCTTCAGACTTTTAAAAGGTAAACATCTCTCAAGGCCACTGCTGTCAGGTGATCCTTTCCACAGGTCAATTTCTTCCGCAGCATGGCCTGAGGCTGGTACTGTGGCTGTCACAGGTCACCAGGCTTGTGTTGAGGCGATAGACGGGCGATATTATGGCAGCCCAGTCTGCCAATTTATTGCTGGGCCCAGACCTCAATGGAAGCCCAGTTGCCATAGTGTCATAGAGATGTCCAGCATGAAACAGTCCCTTCAATCCAAATCCTCCATGCCGACCAGATGTCCTAAATTAATCTAGTCCCATTTGCCAACATGAGCTCATATTCTCAATACGCTGACCAATAAGGAAGATCCTAGTAGTGGTAACTCTCTTTAATTGTTGCACTATTGGGCCTGATTGGCTACCTGTTGCGACCAGTCTGGTCTCTGTGCACTCACCCTCATTTCGGCAAGATTGTTCAGAGGCAAGGACAGGTCAGGACAGGTCATCGAACTGATAAGCTCTTTTGTTGGACTCAAAGTGTTAATTCAGATTCTGTCTTTGCAGATGCTACCAGGCCTGCTGAGATTCTCCAGCACCTCTGCCTGTATTTCAGTTCTTTCTGAATTTGCTCCAAGTCCTGCCATCAAACCAATCTCCACAGGACCAGGAAAATTCAGCATGTTAACTCTGCTGTTTACTCTATAGGTGCTGTCTGACCTGCTGAGTGTTTCCAGCATTATTTTTATTTTATTTTAGATTCTCAGCATCTGCAATATTTTGGTTCTTCAAATTATGACTGTCTCCCCAGCTATATGCCCATGTACAAAATCAGCAGAATCCAATTTATATCTAATTCCAATTTATACAATGCTTGTTGTGACTGAAACAAAAATAGAAATTGCTGGAAAAGCTCAGCAGGTCCAACAGCATCTGTGGAGAGAAATCAGAGTTAACGTTTCAGGTCGGGTCGAGTGACCCTTCCTCAGAACGGCACATTGTGACTGCCCTGGCCAAAGATAGCAACAGAATTCTGTGCATATCCCATCTGTTCAGTTCCATGGAACTGCACTCAAGAAATTTCCCTCCAATCTGTCCAAATAAAACAAATCCAAATTAGGTTGCTAATCAGCCCAGCCATTCTGATGGTCATCCAGAATTGTCTGCTTTGTCCTTTCCATCTTCATCCTTATCTACATTCTATCCTAGCCATAGGCATTGAGTACACTTTCATATTTATTCTAAGGACATTCAGCTGTTCTCCTCCACCACTTTTCTTTACTCTCTGTGCTATCAGACTCCCTGCCAAACAGGAAAACATGAATGTATGGAATGTCCTTCCAATTAAATGTTAGAAAGATAAACATTGATAGATTGGTCCCCATCGTAATCTCTAATTCTCTGCCCCATAGTCAGCCCTAGGCTGGTTATAACCCTGCTTTTGTACTCTTCAAAGCCAGTTTAGACTTCAAAACTCCTCACACATGACAAGACAGCAAATATCCAGCTCTGCAAAAGTATTCCTTTATTCAACTGTAACACACATGCTGTTAGGAACTCCTTAATTTACTCTTTAATTTGCTTGAAGCCGAATTTCTTCAATGTCCTCCTTGACCTGTCCATAAATGTCAACTTGTTCAAAATTCAACAACCACATGTTGTTGCACTAAAATCTGTCACTTTTTCCTCGCTGATCCGAAATGACTCCCTGAATCACAAGGTATTACATTTAAAGCCTTCTACCAAACATTTCTGTGTCCTCACTTTGCCTTCCCTCAGCAGCATCTCCAGCTTTGCATCTCTTCCCAATCATCTGACTTTGAACTTCTGTGCATTTTGCCCACCTCTCACTCTGGCATTTCTGATGGAATCTGCTGCTGCCTCGACTGCCCTGTTAAACCACTTCATCTGCAGCACTGAAGTCTTTCACCTTTAAGTACCTCCATATTTTCAACATGGTTTTCAGTCACCTCCTGGTTACTGCTTGATAATATAGTACAGTACTCTTAACTAATCAGCTAAATTTTCTCCCAATACTGTTATCTGCAAAAACCTATTTTACTTTGTCTGAAATAAGTTTTCCATGCATCAAAAATTTGGAATAGAAAACTATCTTTTGTAATTCAAATGAACGAAGTTCAAAATTTTCACATCTGCCATCGCATTTAATTGAAAAAAAATGTGATAGCAGGAATAAGGTGAGACGCAGGATAATTGTCAATCTTGACGCTACCTTCCAAAGGATATATTTTCTGACTCTTGGTACTTAGTGCTGAGGAAGATTGGATTTGATAGTGGATCACTATTAATAAAGCAACCAGGGATAGTAGTAGGCTGTAATAGGACCAGAGTTAATGATAGTTCTTTGTCAATAATAGAAGATTACACTTAACGTCATTATGCAACCAACTATGCATTAGGAGTTTATCAACTAGATTCTAGCTGACCAGGATGACATGGTTTTATTTGTTACAGTGTTCATATTGCTAGCTGTAGGCTGCCACCTGCTGCCTTTCTTGAAAAAAACTTCTTGAAGTTGGACAAATTAATGAATTTTAGTACTAAAGTCAGTGAACCAACAGTACAAATTTTCATAATTTTAGTTGAGTGGTTTTTATTAGCAATAAAAAATTACTTGCATCACCTTTGAAAGTTGAAACAGTAGCTTTCTGACCAACTACTAATTATTTTAATGGTTAATAATTTATAGTTTAAAACAAAATCTTGATCAACCTCCCTTTGTTTGAATGTTTATGCTATTTGTTGCCATGCAACCCTGCATTTAGGATGATATGTGACAGACTGAAATTTCCTTGACTGCCTTCAACATTTCAACATTGCCCAGTAATCAGCTAACAGAGAATAGAGTTCTATTGCAACCTAAAAATTATTTTCCTTATTCTTTCCATAGCTTGAAGAAAAACTGTTACAGCCATTGCATGTTGAAAAAAATTCTCTGTCAAGTAACCTAACTCTGAACTCAATCAATTGTCCCCTAATGATAGCCAAAAACATTAGCCAGGCTTTTCTTCAAAAGATGTCAGTCCTGATTTTGAGACAATATGTGCATAATTAAGCACATACATAATTAGGGACAATGAGCTGGCTCTCTAAGTGATCATTTCACTCAAATGGTTGGCTGCTGTGCAATCTCCACATTGTCAGTGAGAAAGGTTGTCAATGCTGAGGTTGCAAGGTAAAACAAGAAGATTCTGTACCTTTATTTGAGGCACCCTGTCACTCACTACTACCCACCCCAACCCCTGATACAATTAACCATGCATGCCCTTCCTCATCACTGCCTAATCACTTGATCAGAGCACCTCCCCACCTTCACCAACAGGAATAGCTGTGTCACCCGCTTTCATCATCTATAATACCTGCTTCTGACTGAATATGAGGAGCAAAATAGTCCAGAATAACACAGTGAGTCAAGATGAACAGTGGGCTGCTCAACATTCAGCTGCTTACCCCTTATATGGAAAGGGCACTGACTCTGGCTACCCCACCGATATCACCCTTAACTTGACAGCATCCTGCTGACACTATGGCAAGGTTCCTGACTCTGTGTATGTGCTAAATGACAAGGCATGACGGTAATTAAATTAAGCCTGGTATCTCTGGCTGAGGGGGCAAAACACAAAAAGGCAAGGTAAGGCAATGCAAGACCTTGGATGCGGTGAGCATCCAGGTCGACTAAAGGTGAGTGTACACTATGGCAATGAGCAAAGACGTTGGAAACACATCCTGGTCCACCTGAGGTGCGAAGTGTCCTTGCTGCTGCATCATAGTGATAGCCTTATGTGAAGCATTGAAGTGCGGAAGCATCCTGTAAGTGGATGACACATGTGCCATGAAAATTCAGGGAGGTTGACACATGTTGGATGTCAATGTCCATGGATGTGGCCATGTGTGGCTAGTGGTTGTAGAACATTCCCTGAGGTGTTGTTGTCTGGTTTTGAGCATAGAGTTCGTTAGGAGCAAGGGGCAAGCTGAATCCTTCAGTTGCTCACGCTGGTCTCCTGGTCACATTTTCCTGACATCGAGCTTGTTTGGCAAGTTTGATAAGCTGGGAGGCTGAATGTTAATGAGATGTGTTGGACCACTCACAAGGCGTTTAATGAACAATGACCATCCAATGGCAATTCACTGCTGCCTGCTGGGAATCTTGCCACACCCCTTGTGGATAGCATAAAAGTTAGTGTGAGTTGCTCCTAAAATTGAAGTGGGCCTCACGGAAATTGTCGCCTGAATCTGCCACACATCTCACCGGAGCCCATATCGCTCAGATTGTTATAAGATTCCACCCATTTGTCAGTGAAATGAGTGGGCAAAGATGTGGCAAATACAATATAACATGAGAGCAAGTGAACTTGTCCATTTTGGCAGGGAGAATAAAATAGAAACTCATTATCTAATTGGTGAGCAATTACAGAGCTCTGAGATGCAAAAGGATTTGGTTGTTCTAGTACATGAATCATAAAAGATTAGTCAGCAGGTACAGTATGTAATTAGGAAAGCTGATAAAATGTTATTGCTTATTACATGGGAAATTTAATACAAAATTAGAAAGCTATGTTTTAGTTATGTGGGACACTGGTATGGTCACATTTGGAGTACCCTGTACAATATTAGTCATCTTACTTGGGGAAAGATGTAAAAGTGTTGGAAGTAGTTCAGAGAAGGTTTACCAAGCTAATATGTAGAATAAGTGAGCTGTTTTA